TGTAGTTTCTAGCTGATACTTCAAGGTTCAATAACACGGAGAGTCATAGTCTCGGTTAATGGCATCATCGGCACATTCCAAAATGGGGTATTCATAAAAACCCGGTATTGTCTGCTCTTTCATGAACAGAGATGAATGTCTAAAAGTCTGAATTTTTTACTGAAGCAAGTAGTCAGCAGGATGTGTTGGTTTCCAAAGTTTCAGCTACTCGGCTTGTTCGAATCGGGAAATATGAAGTCGATAGTGTGCTGACTAACGCCTACCCTTCTTTAATAACTAATCTGTTTCGGTTAGTTTTTTCTGGAAGTATTTGAGCATTCGCTCTAATGCTAATTTCAAAAAAGAATCAGGCCAACTATTTTTCAAGAGTCTCAAGATCCTAAGCACCTGCTGAGTTCAGATATTTGATTTTCAAAAGAGACTTTATCACCGCATCGGTTCATATGCAATAGAGTGGAAGTTTTTTGGAGCAAATAGTCAGCCATCATGATTTTGAAAGAAAACATTAGTGTTTTACGAAGACAATGAATTTTCAATTTTCAAGACTGGATTATATCCATGCATTCAAAATTTACAAGTTCATGAAAGGTCGTGATTTATATCAACTTCTTGAAAAGTTACGGGCATAATACTGAGAGCGTCGAACTGAGTTACACTCATGCTTTTCATGTTTTATTTTTTTAAATATATCATTAAAAGGATATGCAGCATCCGTCACGATAACAGTAAAATAAGGTAGTATATCTGGAATCCTGTGGAACACTCCACACAGGGCGTTTTCTATGTTTTCCACCGTGGTAAATCGATCGAGGATATTTGTTTCCTATTCAAGTCTCTTTTACTTCATAAAACTCTTGTAAAATCTTCAGATTAATTATCAGTGCGAAACAAGTAAAATTTGCTATAGCTTCGTCACATCAGGTGTCTGTACTACGTAGTATAATGACGCTAAATAGGACACGCGAGTTCCATATTTTACTATGTATGAAGCTGTCCTGAATTTACTTATTGTCTATGAAACTGAAATAGGTTTCTCACAAAATTTTTTGGAACTTCTCAATCGTTGCTTTTTTCTTGACATCAAATTAGAAACAAAGTCTGACGATGACTAAGGTGGAAACAATAATGATGACATATTCATACGAAAAAGAAAAACATTGAATCAACGTTTACCTGCGCCTTTTACTGTGCTGGTGAATGTATGTACTTTGATAGTGATTTATTCAGCTATTTATACCTTGAGCTCGTCAGTCAG